TGACTCAGTCAACTGAATATTTAAAAATGTATTGACAAATATAATTATTATTATTATTATTATTATTATTATTATTATTATTATTTACTTTATTCATTAAACATGAAACTCAGTCAACTGAACATTCAAAAATGCATCACAAATGCCATTGGCTAATGGTTGATACGGGTTGCTGCCAGTGTCCTAGGTATCAACCAAGTATCATCTTAAGATGTACAATGTTCCAAGTAGCGCAGTTTTTTGCAGTTCCGCTGGTGTTATGCAGGAAGCTGCAATTTCTTGATGTATTTTATAAAATTCTCGGACATGGTATCAAGTTGCCCCGATGACAATGGGTATTACTGTTACATGTTTCATCCATAGCCGTGTAGTTTCGATGGCTGGGTCGCGATATTTCATGATTTCATTATTATTATTTTTTTCATCATTATTTCATTTCATTATTATTATTATTATTTTTAACCCCGTTCTTTTCTACCACAAACTTAGGTATAACATATGGTTTCTAGAGGGAGATTTTACCCCCTTCCTTCCTAAGACCATTAAATTGGGAATTTAAAATTCACTAACTTTGCCACATAATTATCTCTCTGCCCTATTCCCTTAAATTTAAATAGAAATCTCTATTTTATTATGCTTTGTTGTATAGTCAACTAAATGTTCAGACTGGATTTGGCATTTTTGTTTACCTGCTGAGTAGACAAAAGGACCTGGGATAAACAGATGTGGATGTTTGATGGTGTTAAAGATATCATCCCAGGACATAAGCTATTCTGAGTAAAGCTGTGTTTTGTAATTGACTGATGAATTTGTCAATGACAATGGTGTTTAAATGGTGCTCCACTTGTTTTGGGCTTGTACCCAAAGTGCCTATTACTATTGGTACTACCTTTCTTTTCTTTTGCCATACCACTTTCGCTTTCTTTTTTTATTACATCTATTTTATTATTATTATTTTAACCACATTGTTTTCTATAAGAAACTTAGGTTTATTTCTATCTAATACGTATGACTTTCCACAGGGAGATTTTACCCCCTTCTTTCATAAGACTATTAATTTTGGAATCTAAAATTCACTACCTAGCTTTGCCGCATCATTATCTCTCTGCCCTATATCCTTAAATTTAAATAGCAATCTCTGCTCTTCTAAATTTGGCCTCTGTTGCCTGTCAACATTTAATAAATAATTTTTAAATGATTGCTTCCTCTAACTTTCTCCAGGGAGAAGTTCTTTCCTGTTGTGAGTGGTAAAAGCAATAAATTCCTGATTAATTATTTATGTGAGGTTTTGGAAGCCTATTAAACATCTCAGATTGCAGTGATGTTTATTACAAAGAGGAGTTCAGACTCCTCCATTCAATAGCTCAAGATGCTTTCACCTCTGCAGCACTGTGGATCTTGCTAAGTTATTTCTGCCACAAGCAGTTCAAAAGAGATGGATTCCTATAACTTTAATTATTATTTTGCATAATGGATACCTGCAGATGTAGTTTCCATAAACAGATCAAATCTTTGGTTTCAATTCTGTGCAACTGTTAAATGTGGAGGAATGCTTACCTCTTTCTGGCTATATAACTAATAATAAAAATACTGGCAGATGCTGACTTTGGTGTAGAAAACTACCTAAGTCAGATCTGATTATGCAAGGTAAAGATTCTATTTGAGTTCTTTATCTGATTCCCGAAAGCCACTATACGCATACAGTACATGTAGCAATCTCAGATTTGTTTAGCCTTTACCCATTTAGTGTATTTATGTGTATGCATGTATTCACCCACAATATGGATGATAGGCTGCAGGCTCTGACATTTACAGCCAGCCAGTTTAAATGCCAGAGAGCATAGATTCATATCCATATCCATAAATGGGGGATGACTCTCGAATAATTCAGAATCAAATTACCACAGTGTCTCCCTCTACCTGATCTGAGACTTTTAAAAACCAAAGGGAAACTCGAAAAGGGAAACTTAAGGATAGGTTTCGCTGGGCTGAGACTGGAAAAAGGAGCCTGGATAGCTCAGCAGACTAATGCATTGTAATTTAACTCCAGCTGTCTGCAATTAATAAGTTCGAATCTTGCCAGGCTCAAGGTTGACTCAGTCTTCCATCCTTTCTAAGGCAGGTAAATTGAGGACCCAGTTTGTGGGGGCAATAAGCTGACTTTGTAAAAATATACAAAAGTATGAAGGCTATTGCTTAACACATTGTAAGCCGCCCTGAGTCTCCAGAGAAGGGCAGCATATAAATCAATTTTTTTTAAAAAATGGCTTCTAAATTTATCCTTGCAATCTTTGTGAGCATTTCCATTCTTGAACAAGTAATTGAACAGGAGAATTACTCTTTAGGGTCATCTGCCTCTTTAGGAATAGATACAAATCTTCATCCAGAAACTATGCTAAGTCTAATTTGCATAACCATTTTTAATTTCTGTGTGCAAACTATTGATTGAAATGTGATTGCAGCTTTTATCCATTTCGCAGATTTGTTATGAAGATACTGGTATTTATATCCTTGTAGTCTACTGTATAATATCAAGTTGCAATATTTCGGTCTGACAAGAAAACATCCTGTTTGAACAGAAAAGTGCCATCTTGTGGTCTTCCTAGCATGCTATATTTTCTTTTTGATTTTCTTTTTTTTAAGTTTGCAGGTCAACTAAGCACTCTAACATTTATTTCCACCAACATTGACTAGTTGGCATTTCAGTACTTAAAGCTGAAAAAGAGTTTACATTTTATATTTCTTATTTTTAAAGGCAGTTTAATTTTATATCTGGTGAGGGCAAGAAGGTCCAAATAATCTGTTCACTCCTACCTATGCTACATGGCTATGAGATTGTAGTACTGAAGTCATTTCAGTTCCTTGCATTTTTACCATTTAACCACTAGATAGACAGTACAAAGCTCAAAGAGCCTTGGTAGTACAGTGGTCTAAGGCACCCTGTTATTAAGCTGGTTATTAAGACCAGCTGCCTGCAATTACTGCAGGTTCGAATCTCGCCAAGGCTCAAGGTTGACTCAGTCTTCCATCCTTTCTAAGGTAGGTAAATTGAGGACCCAGTTGTGGGAGCAATAAGCTGACTTTGTATAAATATACAAAAGGATGAAGGCTATTGCTGAGCACATTGTAAGCCGCCCTGAGTCTCCGGAGAAGGGCGGCATATAAATAAATAAATAAAAAAATTAATTAAATTAAAACCCCGTGATGGTGAACCTCTGGCATGCAGAGCCCTCTCTATGGGCACATGCACCGTCTCCAGTTGCTCTATTGGTTTCCGGGGCGCACATGCATGCCAGCCAGCTGGTCTTCACGGGTGCTGGAGCACCGGAAAACAGCCTGACAACGGCATGAAAAACAGCCAAAAACAGCCCCAAAACTGGCTGTTTTTCAGTCTGATTTCTGACTTTTTTGGGACCATTTTCAGGCCATTTTCCAGGCCAAAAGCAGCCTGAAAAACAGCCTGAAAAATGGCCAAAAAACAGGCATGCGTGTACCAGCGAGGTGGTCTTTGGGTTTCCAGCACTCTGGCATGCACACATGCATGCATGTTCCGGTTTGGGCACTCGGTGCTGAAAAGGTTTGCCCTCACTGCCCTAACCTCTGTTACATAATTGATCTGGGATAGGACACCCAAATGAGGCACTGGCTGAAAAATAGGTGATGGCAATGGGAACTTCTAAGCTAGTTCTCCATACCAGGACATGGGTCTGGAGGGTTTAATGGCTTCTGGGAGTGATCTGAGAACTCCAGCCTCCTATCATATCAACTTGGCCATTTCACTGCATGATAGTAGTAATGGCATCAAGTGGAAACCAGAAAGCAGTCCATCAGGATCAAGGACCCATACAAATCCCAGGGAAAGCTGGTCCAACCCAGCATGTTCTGCCTAACGAGTTTCATAACCACAACAAGCTTGACAACGACTCATCCAAATGGACACATGTACAGCCAATCCAGTAAGGCAGAATATTAATTGGACTGGATGGCAAGGATGTGACTGATTGTGTCAAATGTACATTGTTTTCTAGAGGATGGGGAACCACAAAGGCAGGGAGAAGGCAGCTTTACAATCCTTACCTGTCATGGAATCTATCCTACAGAGATATAGATTTTGAGGCACATTCAACATACCTGAGGAGAAAGTCTGTCTGTCTCGCTATTGAATTACAGAATTTAATATTACTAAATTATTCATTCAGTTGAATAAAGAGAGCCAGTTTGGTTAAGCCAACAGGCAAGAAATTGGGAGACCATGAATTCTAGTTCCAGCTTAGCCATAAAAGCCAGCCTTATGAGCCTGGATCTATCACTCTCTGTCAGCCCAACTAATCTCACAAGGTTGTTGTGGGGAAAATAAGAGGAGGATGCAGTATTAGTTATGTTCTCTGTTTTGAGTTGTTCATAAAAATAAGAAAGGTGGGATATAAACAAATAAAATTTATATAGCTGCTCGTATCTCAAAGCAATGACTCTGGGTGGCCAACAATCATAAAAACAAGACATTAATTAAAAAAATGTAAAGGCATGTAGCAGCCAAGTAATACGATAATTTGTTGGTGTCAGCATAACCGAGAAAAGGGACCCTTCACACATAACAGCACAGACCTGGGCACATAACAGCCATCCTGGAGCCTTGGTGGTGCAGTATTGCAGGCTCATTCTGCCGACTGCCAGCAGTTCGATTCTCATTGGCTCAAGGTTGACTCAACCTTCTATCCTTCTGAGGTCGGTAAAATGAGGACCTAGATTATCGGGGCAACATGCCGACTCTGTAAATCGCTTAGAGAGGGCCGTAAAGCACCGTGAAGCGGTGCTGAATAGGTGCTATTGCTATTGCTATCCTAAATTCAGGAGAGAGAGTGTTCCAGAGAGTATACATTATGACAGAAGAGGCATACTTCCTGGTATTGGCCAGTTGACATTCGTTGGCTGATAGGACCTGGAGCATGTCCATTGTGTCAGATTGGATTGGACAGATAGAAATGACTGGAAGAAGATGGTATCTCAGGTATCCTGATCCTAAGCCATGAAGAGCTTTAAAAGTGATATTCAGCATCTTGAATTGGATTATGTTTCACCACCCTTATAGCCATGAGGTAGACTCTAATTGTAGCTCTAGCTTGTGTTTGATTATAGACATATATACCACTTCACCGTGCTTTACAACCAGGGGTGAGCTTCAAAAATTTTAGCAAACGGTTCTCTGCCTGGTTGCTGGGTGGGCATGTCCATGGTGGGCGTGTCCTAGTTGGCCTCCTTGTTTTCGCCCTCCCAGAGGCTCAAGAAAAACCTCTGGAGCCCAGGGAGGGCAAAAACGGCCTACCCAAGCTCCGGAGGCCCGCTTGAACTTTTGGTAGGCTCATTGTTCACCCTCCCTGAGCCTCTGTGCGTGCCCTGCACTTACCTGCATCCAAAACGGGCGGCATGGAGACTCCTAGGAGGGGCGGGTGGGCTGGGCTGGGCCAGCCGGGAGTGGGATTTGGGGGCTCTCTGAACTGCACAGAATCTTAGCTAGAGGTTCTCCTGAACCCCTGCGAACCCCCAGCAGCCCACCCCTGTTTACAGCCCTCTCTAATTGGTTTACATCATCAGCATATTGTCCCCAACAATCTGGGTCCACATTTTACCGATCTCCGAAGGATGGAAGGCTGAGTCAACCTTGAGACAGAAATTGTTAACTTGTACTTGTAACTCTCCTTGACAATGCTTATTCTATCTTTGTTCTTAGCAAAACAAAACTCACTGAAAGAAAAATGATGGAATAGTTGCATAATGCTTGTTGATTAATGGCACTGAGAAACCATTTGTTTGGAATGTCCACATTCCATTTTAACTCCAAATTGCTGAAGGCACTTAACATATTCCATTCAATTAGCAATTTGGACATCCCATGTAACAGAATGCTAAATATTGGAACTGGCAAAAAAACATTAAAATAATTTGCAGCAATTCAACCACAAACCTCAGAGTCCATTAAAACAGTTTAGGAAAGCATTTATTTACAAGCCTTTAAACAAAAAAAGTCATTACTATCTGTTGAAAGATAGTATAGAGGCAAAATGAGTGCCAAAATTTAAACACAGCTGTAAAAGCTATCTTCCTATTCCCTGCAAAGAGCAGGGAGTTTTCCAGAACACTAACTAGAATTAACAGAATATCAGAGTTGGAAAGGACCGTGGAGGTCTTCTAGTCCAACCCCCTGCTCAGGCAGGAAACCCTATACCCATGATGGTGAACCTATGGCACGTGTGCCAGAGGTGGCACGCAGAGCCCTCTCCATGGGCACACATGCCATCGCCAGCTGCTCTTCTGGTTTCAGCTGTGCACATATGTGATGGCCAGCTGGTCTTTGTGGGCGCAGGGGTGCCAGAAAACGGCCTCAAAACAGCCCAAAAAATGGCCAAAAAACAAGCATGTGTACACCGGCAAGCTGGTCTTCGGGTTTCCGATGCTCTGGTGCACACTCACCGGTTTGGGCACTCAGTGCTGAAAAAGTTCGCCATCACTGCCCTGTACCATTTCAAACAAATTAGCTGATACTAATACTGATAAGCAAATACTTATGAAATGATGTCACACTGAACCGTAAACTAATCAGACTGACTAGGGCATGGGTGTCAAACTCAAGGCCCGCGGTCGGATCCGGCCCATGGGGTGCTTAGATCTGGCCTGCAGAGCTGGTCTGGAAATTGCAAAGGACTGGCCTGCGATGCCTCTGTTAGCAAAAATGGGGCATAGGTGGGGCACGTGCCCCCCCCCCCACAACTGCTTTTGGCTTCTGGACTGCTCCAGGAAGCCTTCCAGGCCCAAAACAGGGCCTCTGGAGTGCTGCAGGAGGCCTTCCAGGCCAAAACAGCCTCTGGAGTCCTCCAGAAGGCCATCCTTGACTCAGAAGGTTATAAAAGGGAGGAAAAGTAAAATATTTTACCTTTCAGGCTTGCAGGATTCTGTTACTATAGCCTATGTCAATAATTTATAGTTCTAGTCTTCCTATGGAGTCAGTTTCTTGATCTGGTCTTCCTCTCATAAGATGATCAAGTAGATCAAGTAAGTATTAAAAAAAATAAAATCACAGAAATGTATGCATCCCTATTTTTATAAGTTTATAAAACATGTCTGCAGAAGTGTGGTCCCAGGTCACGCCCACCATGGCCCTCCAAGGTCAAACACAGAGGTGGTATTCAGCCGGATCGGACCGGTTCTACTGAACCAGTAGTAATGGTTCTGAGCAGTTCGGAGAACCGGCAAATTGCACCACTGGCTGGCCCCGCCCCGCCCACCCCTCACCACCCCACCCTATATATCTTGCCTTTGCCACATGGCCCAGTTAATCTTCGCGCCTCACCTCCGCACCTCACCCGCTCTGCTCACCAAAGGTAAGCATGCCACCCGCTTGCTTACCACGTCAGGTGGGTCCTGGGATGCACCATTCCCTGGCTCCAGTCTTGTCCCCAAGCCTCTGCCTGCTTGCTCTTCACCTTGGCTGGGTCAGGGAACACACCATTCCCCTGTTCTGGCCTTGCCCTGGGCCTCCGCCTGCATGCTGACCCCCTCTGGCCTCAAATTATGGCCCCCTGGGCCGAAGCAATTTATTTGGCCTGCAACCTGCCATGCTAGGCTGAAGGGCCGTGGGGGTGGGGGAGGTGATGTGGATGCAGGAGGGCTGAAGCAGTTTGGGAATGGACCGGATGGTTCCTCTTACCTGTAAGAAGTCCCATCTGGAAAACGCTGCAGCGGAGATCTTGCAGCTGCTTCTTCCATCCCTTGCCGAGCCTCAGTCACTCACGGAGACACTCCATGTGCTCTCCGGGTCAGCAGCTGCTTCTTTCCACTGCTACTCTGGCTGGGAGAATGTCTTGTGCAATTTAGCAGCTGTGAGCTGCCGCTTTCCTCTAAGTCCCATCCAGAAAGCACTGCGGCACAGAGAAGCAGCAGCGGCTCATAGCTGCTAAATTGTACAAGACGCTGTCCCAGCAGTGCAGAGAGAAGCAGTCACTGCCCTGGAGAGCAGAGATGGAGGGGAGCAGGCCAAGAAAAGTTGCTTGGTTGAGCCTCACCGCGTGGCAGAAGCAGTATACGCTCATGTGCATGGAAGTCGTATGCGGGTGCATCCATGGAAGCTGTACACAGGCGCATGCATGAAAGCTGTGCACGGGCACACGTGCAAAAGCCGTGCACGCACACATGCACGGAAGCCATGCATGCATGCATGCACACGTGCTCTCGCATTTTCAACGAACCAGTACTGAGATTATTTGAAACCCCCTACTGGTCAAACTCAATCCTGATGTGGCCCTCAACGAAATTGAGTTTGACACCCCTAGACTAGGGTAACAGAACACAATGAGCCACAAAATATCCAAGCCCTTATTTACCTAGGTTAATGCCAAAAATACAGCCAGGGTATTTTGGGCGATGTTGACTGCAAAGATATTATCCATTAATAGGCAGGCTCCTATGGGAACAGGTCATCCTTCTGCTACCCAGAGTTGGTTCAAAAATAGACTTGTCCATCTTTTTATGATGCCAAACTAGATCGTTCCTGCTGCATCTCTCTCTCTCTCTCTTTTTTACAATTTTTATTTTACTCCAAAAATTAAAATACAAAATCCAAAAGAAAAAAAAATGAAACAGAGATGAAACAAAACTAGACAAAAGATTAAAAAACAAAACAAAAGACATATTATCCCCCCCTAGCTGAACACTGACAAATTATATTACAACAATAATAGCCCCCCTTGCAAAGCAGGTCCAAAATTTATAAGCTGCTACCTCTAATTTGCAACCCAACTGACCTGTCATAGATTGCATATGTGAAAGGAAAAAAATAGTTAACAGATTAAACAACAGCGAAGTTTATTTATTTATTTATTTATTTATTTATTTATTTATTTATTTATTTATTTATTTATTTATTTATTTATTTCATGTATTTATATGCTGCCCTTCTCCAGAAGGACTCAGGGTGGCGAACACAAGTTAAAAACATGTACAACAAAATCCCATTTTAAACCAAATTAACTAATAAATAATAAAACCCAGAATCAGAGTCAGCCTATTTGCTTGAACAGCCAAGTCTTCAGGTCCCGACGGAAGGAGCGGAGATCAGGAGCCGTCCGGAGCTCGGTAGGCAACTCATTCCAGAGGGTGGGAGCACCCACAGAGAACGCCATTATTGTAATTTATTTATAGAAAGTCTATAGTTTCTTATTCACCACAAATTACATCATTATCTCTGATCAGTCCAGGATCAAATACCCTCATTTGGTTCTTAATAATGAAACCTTAGTTTTTTTTAATTGGGAATTTTCCCAGCAATTGCATCTCATTTCCAAAGTTCCAAAGTCTTTGTTGTAAATATCTCTGCAACATCCATTGTTGAATAATTCTCCTTGACAGCATAGTAAGTCAAGGACCACCTGTATTTAAACCACCGTGGAAGCTGTAATTTCTTAAATTGGAGGCAGCTCAATTGGAGGAGCCAAATAACAATTTAGAGAGCTCTTATGCAGATCTGTTTTTTGTTTTTTTAGTGATCTAGTTATATCTCGATATGTATGTTGAAACTCTGCTTATAAACGATTTTCAAATATGTTCTCTATTGTTTGACCTAAGAAGCTAAACACAGATAGTCATTGACTTCAGGGGTGGGTTCTAAATTTTTTTACTACTGGTTCTGTGGGCATGGCTTATTTTGTGGGCGTGGTTTGATGGTCATGTGACAATTCGTTAGGATTTAGCAGAGGTACTGGTCTACCAGGCTTTTAACTGCTTGCAGAGCTGTACCAGTCTACCCATTTGTTCTCGGAGCGTTCCGGTCTACTCATTTGTTTTTGGAGGCACCGGTCTACTCATTTGTTTTTGGAGGCACCGGTCTACTCATTTGTTTTTGGAGGCACCGGTCTACTCATTTGTTTTTGGAGACACCGGTCTACCACCACACTGCCTTTTAACACTGATCAGCTGTAGGGTGGCCCTTTGAAGCCCTGCGGCAAGAGTTTAAACAGTTTTTTTTCCTTCTAGCCGATCAGCTAGGACTCGGGAGGCAGCAAATAGATTGGGGGCGGGGCCAAATAAAAGGTAAGAATAACGCGGGGGGGGCGGGAGGGCCCAGCTCCCGAACAAAGAGAATCGGTTCGGTGACGTCATATCGTCATCACTACCGGCTTGGCCGAACCGGGCTGAACTGGGAGGAACCCACCACTGATTGACTTCCCACAGTTCATTTAGTGACCATTCGAAGTTACAACAACACAGAAAAATGTGACTTATGATCATTTTTCAGTTACAGCCATTGCAGCATGCCCATGTTCATGTGATCAAAATTAAGATGCTTGGTAACTGGTTCATACTTATGACCGTTGCAGTGTCCTGGGGTCATGTGATCTCCTTTTGTGACCTTCTGACAAGCAAAGTCAATGGGGAAGTCAGATTCACTTAACAACCAGGTTACTAACTTATCAACTTATCTAACAATGGTGGCAAGAAAAGTTGCCAAACTCACTTAACAAATGTCTCACTTAACAACAAAAAATTGGGGTTCAGTTGTGGTCATGAATCGAAAGGCTACCTGTATTTAAACCACTGCAGAAGCTGTATTTTTTTAAATTGGAGGCAGCTCAGTTGAAGGAGCCGCCTAACAATTTAGGTCTGTCTTTTTTTAATAATCTAGATATATCTTGATCTGTAGGTCAAAACTGTGCTTATAGACTATTTTCAAATATTTTCCCTATTGTTTGACTTAAGAGGCTAAATAATCTTTAGTTTCTCTAACAAAGCCATTCTGAGAAGAAATGTGTAGCGCGGGTAAAGTCGCTTCGGACTGGCTGGTGTTCGGATCATGGTGTTGTACGCCTGTGGACTGCTGAAATTTGGGGGGGAAAGGGCAGCACAGGGCAGAATTTAAAAGGAGAGCATTTGGCGGGAAATGGGGAACCGAGGAGAAGGAGGTAAGTGAAGAATTTGTGACAGAGAAGAGGGAGGCAAAGAGAGACGGGCAAGCAGGGAAATGGTGGCAGAGGGAGAGGCAAGTAGAGGGTTAGACAGCAGCGGAGGAGGAGTGGCGGAGAAAAGAGTGGAGAAAATAGTGGCGGAAAAGCAGCAGAGGAGATTGAGGCAGAAAGGGAGAGAAAGAGCCATGAGGGCGCTCACCGGCTCATCCGATTGTCAAAATCAAGTCTTTCTCTCTGCGCTCCAGCCCTGACTTCGGCTCTATGCCCCAACCCGAGCTAGAAACCAGGCGAGGTGAGCAACCAGAAAGGAGACTGAGGAACCAGGAAGGCAGCAAGAGGCAAGCTGAGCGACCGAGAGAGAGAGGCCAAGCAGGAGAGCCAGGCGAACTGAGAGAGCGGGCCAAGAAGGGAACCAGAGGATGGCAGAGGTGAGCCAATAGTCAGAGAGAGAGGGAAAGACTGAGAAAGAGTTTGAGATGCCAGGCGAGTGACAGGTGGCATCTCATGACATCCAGGGTATCAAAGGAAGTACAAGCAGTCCTCGACTTGCAACCACAATTGAGCCGCAAATTTATGTTGCTAAATGAGACATTTGTTAAGTGAATTTTGCCCCGTTTTGCCACTTTTCTTGCCACAGTTGTTAAGTGAATTGTTAAGCCAATGATGAATGAAAGGTGAGCTGTATTTTAAATTTTATGACATGGTCTTAGACCAAAAGTAAATAAATATAATAATAAACAGGCAATCTTCATGCAACTGATATATACAGAACCTGTCATTACAAAGCTTATATTATACCAGGCTCAAATTCTGAAATAAAACGAGATTTAGCATAAGAGAGCTGTTAATTTGTATTTGTTGCTAATAATGCTGTCAACACATAGGAAATTAAAGTGATGGGTGAATGGCTGATGACATATGCTCCTTGTCCTGACACAGTCTTGCTTTTACCAATCCGTCAAATTCCAGAAATTCAAGCTGAGCAGTATTTTTTCCCTCATAAAATAACTTGTGCTGTCAAATCCTCATTGAAATCATCCCTTTAAAAAGCTGATGGCATTGCTGTCATCCTGCTGACAGTTCATTGATTGATTGATTATATTTATATTTTACCTTTAGAACAATGTACAGTGCTTACATGAAAGATGCTTGAAAGTAAGTATCAGCAAGCAAAAAATACTCGACTTGATGCTGTTATTTGTGAAACCCAGGTTCGGTCCACCAGGAATTCTTCGTAAAGCTTTCCTAACTCTGTGGCAAGCAAAAGCTTTTTACTCCTTTCTGAATTTGCTATTTATGTGTTATTAACAAGAAGCTGGAAATGAATTGTCTGGTGAAACATTTTCTTCCTAATGTCTCATGACGGAGACATAGAAGGGTATGAATATCTGTGCATTTATAATAAACATAATATATGTTACGCTTTGCTATACCCTTTGCTACGTTTTTTTCAACTGGTAGAATGATATATTGACTCTTGTTTGAGAAAGTTCCATTTCAGTACACAAATGATTGACTATCAAACCTGTACACATCAATATAAAACTAGCTAACCACACCAAGTCCTCAGACATAATTTACTGTGCTTAAAGAGGAAAAGGAAACAAAAAGTGATTTAAATGAACAGCTCTTGCAAAAGTATAAATGGGTATTTGCATGTGCATGTATGTGTGAATGAATGAATCAATGAACCAATGAACGTTTTAGAGACAATTCATTAGAAATACTTTGACTAAAAGTGAAGAAGCTACTCCAGGGTGTCAAACTCGCATCATCACGGCATCGTCACATGATGTATCAGGACTTTTCCTCACTTTGCTAAACCGGGTGGGGACGGAGCCAGCACATGACACATCTGGCCTATGGGCCGTGAGTTTGACACCCTGAGCTACTCAGATAAGCAGCAAAACATTTCAAACCAAAAAGAAATCCAGTTACCATGACTCAACTTCCAAACTTTGACTAAAAAGACAGAAATGTGAACCATTAAATACTCTGTTCAAATGTTGATATGTTGGTCAACATCCTGATTATTGTTGTTTTAACCATTCAGTCATGTCCAGAGGTGGTATTCAGCAGGTTCTGATCAGTTCTGGAGAACCGGTAGCGGAAATTTTGAGTAGTTCGGAGAACCAGTAAATACCACCTCTGACTGGCCCCGCCCCCATCTATTCTCTGCCTCCCGAGTCCCAGCTGATCAGAAGGAAATGGGGATTTTGCAGTAACCTTCCCATGGAGTGGGGAAGGAATGGAGATTTTACAGTATCTTTCGCCTGCCATGCCCACCAAGTCACGCCTACCAAGCCATACCATGCCCACAAAACTGTTAAATAAAAAATTCGAATCCCACTACTGGTCAGGTCTGATTCTTAGCAACATTATAGGCAAGTACTCTCCATGTTACCCTGTGAAGTACAACTTTCAGTTGTTGGATGTTCATATTTGCATCAGTTATTATATTATCAAGCTAGTGTATTCTTTGCTTGCTCCTTCTTCTTGTTCCATTAAGCATTCCTATCACTGATTTTTTCCAATTAATTTGCACACATGACATGGCCGAAGTAAAGTGATTTTGGTTTCTAATGATGTGTTTGCAACTATCTTTAACAGTAAAGCCTTTTAAACCATTTCAGTTCTGATTTCTTTATGCTAGTTCTAATTTCTTTAAGCCAGGGGTGTCAAACTTGCGGCCTGCGGACCGGATGCAGCATGCGCTGGCCATGCCCACCGACATTTTAGAGAAGGGGAAAAATGTTACAATACGTCACGTGATGACAACGTGATGCCGCTGTGGCCTTTCCAAAAGCAAGAGATCTCTTCCAGATCCAAGTAGAGCATGAATAATCATTTTAGACTTTGCCAAATTTCCTTGTTTGATAACAGATGGTTATAGATAGCAAAAACTGGCATGGTAACATTTCTCTCATTGCGCAACTATGTGATTACCAGAGATTATTATGTCTGAACAACAGATCAGGAAGCCTACAGTGAGAATGGGTTAATCCAGACCGGTGCTTGGAATTGCTTCTCTCACTCAAAAGCTCTCCAATTGGTTTCTTCCCTCCTTCCGAATTCTACATTATTTTGCATTATAGATTTCCCTGTGGAGGATTCCCAATCCAGGGGCAAATAAAGGATTGTATTTTATACTTCATTTGTTAAGCAATACATGGAGTAAAATGCTTCCAGAATGAAAAAAAAGCCAAATTCCTATATTTTGTGGAAAAAAATTGTTATGAATGGGACCAAAAAACACACCATTGCTAGGTTACAAAGAATGATTTGTATCACAATTATACATTTTAACCCTGTATCTATAATTGGCTTATTACAAATTTAGGCAAAACACAGGGTTTTTCCACGCTGTTTATTCCTTTCATACACAATCTGATTTAATTTTCAGCATAATAATTTTTATCAACAATTGGCATGTTACTTTCACATATACACCTTTTATGGATGATTTTCAGAGATAAAAGTGATCTCAAATGCAAACTAAAAATATCACATGTCAAGTTAGGGAGAATGTTGTCACAATGCCATAAGGTAATTTATACCTCAATGTCACTTGAAAACATGAAATGCTGGAATATTGATGCAAATCTTTTGGAATAAGATTGACCCCGCTGGACTTGTCAGCAAAAGATCAAAAATATTAAAGAAATGTTAATTTCCAATAGGATTATATAGAGCTCAGGACTGGTGCTTTTGGTGCTGTCTGAGCTTTGTTTCATTATCCAACTAGCGAATTTGGGTTTACACTCTGTTTGTTTACAGTCATGTATCCTGCCAGTATTGATGGTTGGGTTTTCTCCTTGGTAGTTCCTTGATTAGGGCATTGTTTATCAACTTTATCAAAAAATGTCTGCCCATCCAGCACAATATATGTCAAAATCATCTCAGAAATCACCAAAAAACTATTACAACCACATGGCATCACCATAGCACACAAACCAACTAAAGCCTTCCAAGACATTGTAAGACCCAGCAGCTATAAAACAAAAAACAGGAGTCATCTACAGCAGCATTCCTCAACCTTTTCAGTTGGCGGCCTGACCCGGGAATGGGGTAAGAGGGGATGGTTTTGTGCAAGGGGCAAGTGCAGATTCGTATGTGTGCACACAGCTTCATTTGTGTTCTGTCCCCCTTCCCCACACAGGCAAACACACAACCAGGTACGCCTGCCAAGTTTTTAATAAGCAATCAGACTAGAAACCCTTGCAGATAAGAGTTTTGGCAGTAAACTGTGTAATGCCTGCCAAGTCAGTTTTCACTCACAGTAAGCAAGAGAGCGTTTATCCTCAGTCCGGTCTAGTAGCATAAAGTAATCCACGAAGCAAGAGTTAGCCAAGGTCCAATCCAAATATGTACAAGCCAGATTTCAGGTAACGCGATGTGACTCTCAGGTTTTAAACTTTGACCATCACAAAGCCTGAAGAGCAATCACACCCACTTTTATTCCTTGTGGGGTGTGGCTCAGTGACTCAGCTCAATCTCTGGCCCTCCCATGCCTCTTTCGTTGCTGCACACGCTTCTCCCTCCGACGCTGCCTGGGTTCAAGCCAGGATTCATCATCCTCGCTCCCTATCTGTTGTTGTTCCTATATACTTTCCTCCTGGCATATCCCAGGCTGTTCCTCTTGGCCTTCGGATGAATCCTGGGGCATTGCCAGAGAGGAGGATCCTGGAGAAGGAGGCCTTGTCAATTCCTCCCCATCACCGTCTGAGTCCTCTTCCTCTGTTAGGACAGGCTCAGGAATCGGGGTCACAACAATTTGTGTGAGAGGCGAGTGCATGCGCCCCTCCCGCTTGTGCACACCTACTGCTTATACGAGTGAGGCTGCGAGTGCTGGTGCCCAACGCTCACGTAGGTGGGGTTGCACGCAGCAGCCTGCCACACATGCAGCCTAGGGGGTGGGTTCTACTTACCTTTACTACCGGTTCGGAATGGGATCGCACACGCGTGCGCCTTGCTTCTGCGCATGCTCAGATCACCGATGATGACATCGGGGGCAATGGGTGGGGCCTCCCGCCGGTTTTACTACCAGTCTGAACCGGGGGCATCCCACCACTGATCCAGCCTGGTTGCAAATAGACCACGGCACGGTAGTGTGCTGTGGTCCACAGGTTAGGGACCCCTGATCTACAGCATTGCGCAGGAGACACTATTCCATTTCAGACAAATGGCTGTCCAGTCTCTTCTTGAAAGCCTCCAGTGATGGGGCACCCACAACCATTCCACTGGTTGATTGTTCTCCCCATTAGGAAATTTCTCCTTAGCTCTAGGTTGCTTCTCCCCTTAATTAATTTCCTTCCATTGTTTCTTGTCTTGCCTTCTGGTGCTTTGGAAAATAGGCTGACCCCCTTTTCCTTGTGTATTGGAACACTGCTATCATGTCTCCCCTTGTCTTTCTTTTCCCTAATTAGACTTACCCAATCCCTGCAACCATTCTTCATATGTTTCAGCCTCCAGCCCCCTAATAATCTTCTCTGCAGTCTTTCCAGAGTATCAAATCTCTTTTATATTGTGATGACCAAAACTGGATGCAGTATTCCAAGTGTGGTTATACTAAAGGCTTTACAAGGCTTTGTAAAGCAGTACTAGAATTTCATGTGATCTTGATTCTATCTCTCTACTATTGCATTTTAGGATTGCATTGGCTTTTTTTTGCCTGCTGCCACACACTGCTGACTCATATTTAAGTGATTGTCCACTTGACTCCAAGATCCCTCTCACAGTTACTGACATTAAGCTAAGTTTCACGTAGTCTGTAGTCTATACCTGTATCTGTACAGTTGGTTTTTCTTGCCTAAGTGTAAAGTGTAAGTGTAAACCTTATTTTTATCTACATGGAATTTCATTTTGTTACATTGGGCGCAGTGTTCAAGTCAAGTTTCTTTGACTTTTTTTTAATGGGTTCTGAGCCTTAACTTTCCTAACTTCATCTTTGCAGGTTTGGTACCCCAAATTTGTGAGCCGAGTCACTGATTCTTTCCATACTCACAGTGGCTTATTTGCAGGGGTGAAATCCAGGAAGGTTCTGACAGGTTCCAGAGAACCAGTAGCAGAAATTTTGAGTAGTTCGGAGAACCCGGCAAATACCACCTCTGGCTGGTCCCAGAGTGGGGTGGGAATGGGGATTTTGCAGTATCCTTCCCCTGGAGTGAGGTAGGAATGGAGATTTTGCAGTATCCTTCCCCTGGAGTGGAGTGGAAATGGAGATTTTGCAGTATCCTTTCCCTGCCACGCCCACCAAGCCACACCATGCCCACCAAGCCACACCCAGAGAACCGGTGGTAAAAAATTTTGAATTTCACCACTGCTTATTTGTATATGTATATGTGTGTGTGTGTGTGTGTGTGTGTGCGTGTGTGTGTGTGTTTGAATTTCTCTTCTTTGAATGAGTCTTGGCTACTGATA